ACGACGGAGTCACTCGTATGATAAGCTCCGCTCGACAAAGTCAACAGCGGAGCTAAAAAAAATGGTCGCAGTCAGCCATTTTTAATCTGATTCGAAAAAAATAAAAGTGTTGTTGCATCGTGGTTTCATAATGTCCAAGATATATACAAAATCCATTAATACACAACTACATATATCATAATCTGATTGGTAAACAGTTCATTACTGTTTTATTGTAATGTTGTTGTAGCAGATGATATCAACATCACAAATTGACAAATTTTAATGTCAAACTTCTTAATTTTTGACAAATAACTTTATTTCATCCCAAATTCACTATTACACATCTCGTCCCTTATAGTTGCCATTACTCTTAAAAACCCTGCCATCTATTTGTTGATTGTTAACACCATTCTCGATCTGAATGTAGCTGTAGTTTATCAGATTCAATTTTCTGCAGCAATATTATACCATATTTGCCCTATTAGTTATGTATGTACTTATTTACATTCACGGAAATATATTTATGGTCAAAATAAGTACCCGTTATATCTGGTAGAGTAAATATACTATCATAATAAGTACCCGTTACATCTGGTAGAGTAAATATACTATCATATTAAGTACTCGTTACATCTGGTAGAGTAAATATACTATCATAATAATTATCAATAAAATACATACAACTTTTGGCTGACTGCAGGAAGGTTCTTTCTGACATCTGATGACTTCCTCTCTTTGAGTTCACTTTTTCTCTTAAGTAGCGTTTCTTTTTCTCTTTGGCAATTCAACTCTATTTTTCTTAGCTGCAACAGAACAGATGTAACGCAAATACAAATCAAGACATATCTAGTGTGTAACACTATTGTCTTTCAGAATATAGTATAGGGGTACATATGCATGTCTATTTCCATAGCTCTGTATACTGTAAATTGATCTAATTTCACAAAAGTCTACTTTCGCAACACAGAAATTATATACAAGTATATACAGAATATACGTCAGAATAGTAAAATAATAAAACTAAAAGTCAGCTGCCTATCACAATCTGTCGTCCATCGCTGTCCACAGCAACGATCACATAGAAATTGAGAACGAGACAGACTGCATTGAAATGAACACTAGATACGGCTATCTCGGCCAGTAATCGAAAATTCAATCTTCCATCATTTTGCTTCTATTCTCACTATCTTTAAAATGCTCAAGTGTCTTTATTTGCAGTGACGTGAACATTGCTACAACGTAAGAGTAAAGACAGAGACTATCACGTATTTACGATTTTGTTCATGTTTTAGTCTAAAGCTCTTTTTCTTAAGTCAAAGCATTCTAAATATTGATAATATTGAAATGATCTGGAAATTAGCAAATACTGCTCAGTGAACAATAACAATTACTATATATAGTATAATTATCTTATGAGACTTATAAGATAAGATACAACTTATTGTACAGTAATAACTTTACAAAACTTATTGCACTTAGTTTATAACCCTCAGTTTGCAATGAAGAATACTGAATATGCTTTGTAGCAACTTACAAAAATGTATAGTACAATTATCTTATGTGAACTCTAGGATATATATTATTGTACAGTAGCAACTTAACAAAACTTATTGCACCTAGTTTGTAACTCTCACTGAACTAGGACTAGTATCGAGTACAACTGCTTACAGTAGAATAGTATCTTATAATGTTTTCTCGGTAATACGAAGTTCGCAAAAACCATTCAGTCTTTAGAAGTCACTTAGTTTATTACTAGGTAGGACGTATTCTGCTGTGTTACATTTATTATTTCCAACCGTTTAGTATTTTCTAGAATGAAGGCAGCATTTACAGTTCATTCAAAGTTTAAAGTTGCGTTGGGATTACGTTGATACAGTGTAACAATGTCGGCGCCAAAGCGCAAAGTAGCCAAAATAAAAAGCATGATCATTTGAACACTGCTATTACAAAACTGGTAGGAGGTAATAAATTTGGAGCGAAAGTATTCAAAAATCAGTTTTTGGCTGTTGCAATGGCAGTGGTAGGCCAGGAGAATTGCCTTGCCTTGGCTTAATTGTTTGCCGAGGAATGGTCGCTTTGGTACGTGCTTTGTAACTTGCAGCACATGAACATAAAAACGTCATGTAATCAGAATCACAAGAAGATGACTATCCCTGATACGGGTATTGCTAAATCGCCAGCTGTGAACTTTAT